TCTGTGTATGTGCCGCATTCTATGTATGGTTTCAGAGAAGGAATTCACGATGTCAGAAGCACAGGTCAGTGGTTAAGAGCTCTGGCTGTTCTTCCAGAGGAGCTGGGTTCTGCTGGAGGCCAGCTCTGGAGCTCTGATTCTCTCTTAAAGGTAGCCAAGGGGGCAGAGTGTCAGCAGGGGCAAGACTTGGTCCTGTGAGAGAGTAGGGTTGCTTTCTATAATAATATATACCTAGCTTGACTTTAAGTTACGCTGAGGCCAGAAGCTGCAGGCCTCTGGATCTATTGACACTTGTTGCTAGCAGCAGGGGCTGGGGGTAAGGGATGAGGAGCGGGCCATGGGGAGCAGGGAGGGAGAATTAGGTAAAGGATTTATTACTAGTGCTCCCTCCTCTGGCCAGGCAGCCAGGAGCCCCTTACTGAGTTGGCTGGTTAACTCCTTATAAGCCGGAAAAGATAGGAGTCACCCTCGAAAACACACACACACACACACACACACACACACACACACACACTGGTTGGGGCCAGCCATCTGTTACATCAACTCCACAAGTGTTCATGCAGGCTTACATACATACACATATACCTTCATATGTACATTTAAACAGACATGTACATTTGGATGGGCGGATGGGGCAGAGCCACCAACCTTCTTTCTTTCCTTTGGCCTTTTTATACCTTCTTAAACAAAGGTTCTTAGAAAGTTATCTCAGGGATAAAATGTTACATAAAATGGGAGTTACAGAAGGAAGTTGATATTAAGTTCAAAGCAGTGTTTCATTATAATATACTCATTAAAAGTTCAAAGCAACAGTTTTATATGGCCTTGCCTTATCATAGTGCACACCTGTGGATTTATCCTTGGACTTAAATGTTTTTCCTTGAGCACAAAATTGTCCCAAGTCTATTTCTCTTTTTATTGTGGTTATGAAAGCTCACTGTATTCTTTATTATGCAGCCTTTACTTACTATTCTGAGAAGTGGGCATAGTCTGTTCTTGATTCTAACTTTATTACATCTTTCTAGCAAAGCAACTAAAACCATCTCTAAAAATTTTCTTTCTAAAATTATTTGACTCAAATCAAGAATTCTATAAAATCATTGATTCATCTAAACAGCATTAATTCATGAAAGTTCATCTTCATGTTGGTCTGCAGGAGTTCTGTTCAATGAGGTGGGCTAATGCTCAGGGACTATTGTATTAATTTCATAATGACAGGAAAGGCATATCAGCTGCAAGAAGCAATCCTGAGATGAAATCTTTTTGGGACCTTGCCTCACTGAGCTCACCCATCAGAGACCATGCGCAAGCGGTGGGCCACCTTCAGGAAGGCCAACTGCTAGCCTTAGCCTTTTCTAGATGGCTCCTGACAGGGTCCAGTTCTCAGGACCCACATGGCAGCTTGTGCCATCTGTAACTCTAGTTCCAGGAGATCCAACACCTTCCATGGGCATGGCATGTTCGTGGTATATGCACACACAGGCAGGTGTTAATGCAATTTTATAAGTGATAATTTTTCTTTACCCTGGCTAGCTCCCAAATAAATGAGACAGATACTATTAGATTTATTCAATCAGCTTCATGGCACAATAACTGATCAGTTATTAATCTATTCTAATCCTCTAAACGAATCTGGCTACCTCCTAGCGAAAGTCTCCAAGATACATACATTTAGTATTGATCTGGCTGTCTCTGCTCCAGGTGTGTTACCATGGCTTATCCTCAACCCTCTCCTCCCATCAAATTCTTTCTTTCTTTCTTTCTTTCTTTCTTTCTTTCTTTCTTTCTTTCTTTCTTTCTTTCCCTTTCCCCTGGATGGGATGGGAAGTCCAGCCCTATTCTCTCCTCTGCTCAGTCATTGACTCAAAATCAGGTAACTGGGGAGCAATGTTTCATAACACTGAGACAGGAGATTCTTAAAATAAGTGTTACAACACCATGTCCAGATTGCAACCAGATTTGGGGGCAGAGAAATCAGTATTGAATAATACAAGGATAATCTTTACACCGTGCACAATAACATTATACCAACAGGCAGGCAAACAGCCATACACCTAAAATAAAAATAAGTCTCAAAAGGCCCTAAACAAACAAGCCCCAACAATATTAAAATAATTAGGATAATGCCATCACTTGTTCCTGAGAGTTGTGGAGTGCGTTATATCTGGGTTATTATCTGGTCACGCTTACTAATGTTGCTCACAAGAGAAACACATGAATGAATGAATGAATGAATGAATGAGAGCCTGGGAAACAGGAGTTGTGCTGTGATTAACCATGGATTAATGCTTTGTATAACTTATAATTTTTGTATTGTGTTAACACTTTGTATGTTTCCCCACCTTGGGATAAGGATAAGAAAGCAGAAGTTGTAGAGAATTACCAACATCTGTTGACTTATAGGCACCATGCTTTGGAAAAGGCACCCCCCCCTCATTCTCTTCCCTCCACAGACATCCTGCCTAGCCTCCTTCCTTCTCTCTTGACAAAAAGCATTTCACAGCAAACCTCCCAGCAGCAGCCAAAGAAAACAAACCCAGGAAAAAGCAGCCACCGACCAGGGAGGAAGCACGCTTCTGAACCCTCACAGATAACGATCTCTGAATCAAAGCCACAGAGCCCACTACAATGGTGAAGGAGTTTAGGGGATACCCAGAGCAGGTTGGCTGGAGGTCAGATTCCTGGCCTCCATTAGTTCAAGTCCCACAGCTCCGAGCTGGATATGAAATGGAAAATAATGCCTTCCTGTACCCAGATGGAGATCCAGCAAACTCCTGGACCATTTATTTAGCAAACAAACTGAAATTTTACTGTGCCTGAGGTGGGCAGGCAGACGGAGGCTATGTATCTTGCTAACTCCCTGGCTGGCTCACTCCTGCTCTCTTCCTCGGGCTGCACATTCAGGGTAGTCTGATTCTGACATTTTTCTATCTCTCCTCCTTCCCCTCAGACGGAGAGTGTTAGTAAGCCACTCCTGGAGAACACCTGCCGTTTGGAGCTCTTCTGTCCGGGCGGGGCGGGTCTGCTGTGTCTGTTCTCTTTCTGACCTGAAATTGCCTCAAGGGGCAACCAGGCTCCTCCTTGACAGAGCATCACAGACTACAAAGGGCCAGGAGCACTGGCGACCGGCCTGTAGCCTCGCTTCTCTTGGTCTCTTTCAAAACACTTATCCTCAAGGGCCTCTCAGGTCTGACTCTTCACTGAGCTGAAATTGCTCCTTAGAACTCACTGGCCAGAAAGGAAGGGAGCGTTTCCTTCACTCCCCCTGGAACTAGCTCTAAGCACTTCCTCCCCACCCTTCCCTCCAAAGTCCTGGTCACAGTGCCCCCTGGTGGAAGTATTCAGCAACAGTCCAGGAAACTCCAGCCTAATACTCCTGCTCCCAAAGGCCCAGGGAAGTCAGGTTAAGTTGGGGAGGAGAGCTGGAGCCAGGACTTAGGGGCTGGTGGGGGTGGCGCTGGGGCAGACAGAATATAGACAGAACTCCCTATAACCAGATACTGTGAGTTCTCAAGGCAAGCTGGAAACTTCCGATTAAAACAAATGTGTAGGGCTGGAAGGATGGCTCAGTGGTTGGTCAACAGCATCTCATGCCTTTCCAGAGGATGCTGGTCCAATTCCCAGCATCCACATCAGGTGACTTGTAACTGTCTGTAACTTGAGCTCCAGTGGTAACGAGGGCTCTGCAGATACCGTCACTCACATGTAAATGCCCCCGTGTACATATACATAGTTGAAAACATAATTTCTACTCAGGTCCTATAATCTGCTGGAGGCAGTGGCAGGAGGATTAACATGAATTTGAGACCATCCTGGACTACATAGGGGACCCCCATCTCAAAGAAAAGACAACAAAATAACACAGTTTCCGTTAAGCTAAAAAAAATTTTCCTGCTACTTGGGACAAAATAAATTTTCCTAAAGATATATATATATATTCACTAATGTCCAGAATACCAAATTTGAATGTTCTAGAGATTTATACCCCCTAGGCATCATGTAAAACCTGCACAATGGGCCCTCCTCCCCTGCTAGGCCTTCCTCCCCAGCCAGGTCCTCCTCCTCTGCTAGGTCCTCCTCCCCTGCCAGGCCCTCCTCCCCAGCCAGGCCCTCCTCCCCTGCTAGGTCCTCCT